ATGAAGAAAATTTTTCAAATTTCTTTTCCCAATTGTGAAAACTCATCTGTTTTGTAAAAACATGCACGGACATGTGCACGAACATGAACTTATTTAAAACTTGATTTTGTAAATTCAATTAAACATGACAAATTAATTCCAAAATTGATAAAACTTTAGAAAATATTTATAAACATGAAATTGAACAATTTAGAAAAATAATTTCTCAAATTAATTTTCCATTTGTGAAAACTCATGTATTTTACAAAACTTGTAAATACATGTGTACATAAACTTCTTGATTTTTGACTATTGAGTTAAACAATATTTTGAAACCTTATGAAATAATTTTATAGACTTAATAATATATATATATAATGGTTGTTAAGTCCAAAAACTAATAAATTAATATTTTATCAAAATTACTCAAAATCAAAAATTTTGTGTATGTGTGATATAGAGCTTAAAGTATTAACACACAAGTATAAACCCTAAACTAATTTACCCAAGCTATCTTGATCTTTAATTAAGCTCATCTTGGTAAACTTGTGGATGAAGCTTGAACTTAGATCTTCAACTTTAATTACATTGGCTTCATATCGATATTCCGCCAACCTCCATTGGATACGATTATTGATGTTCGATTCCATCCATCCTCCGACACGTTGTTTGTCTATAATAAATAAGAAAACACAAATACTAGACAAACAATATTAATGGTAAATTATTTGTTAAACATCATCAAAATAAAAAGACCAATAGAGTTCACACTGATGTTTGGGGGGCTTCCAATGAGGCATCATTGGGAGGTAACAGATGTTTGGTTTCCTTTATTGGTGACTGTTCTAGGCGTGTTTTGATTGCAACCAAATTCCCTTTGGATAAAGTCCTAGTTGTCTCCAATAGATTAAAGAAGTGTGAGATTGGTAGAAAGGTGAAGGTACTTCATTCTGATTTTGATGGGAGGTACAAGAGGGACCTGTTTTTGCATTCGAGCTGAGCTCATGGCATTTTAAGACACTTTGGTGGAAAGAAAATCTTGGGTCAACAAGATGAAATGGTAGATTTAGTGAGCTGTTCTTTGCTGGAGGAGGACCGACATTTAATGTCGAGTATTAATCTGATGTTTAGGCTTTGACATATTTGGGTCATCTTGGTCATAGGTTGTCTACTGTTGCGATTGGAGATAAAACTCCATTGGATGTTTGGTCTGGTAGTATCACTTCGCTTGAGGCTTCGATGAGGGAGCTAATTGACTTTCAGCAGGTGGAGAGTTTTGGACAGACCTTAGATGTATCGTAGCAGGTGGAGAGTGATGCTACTCCACATTAGGTGAAGATTACTCCACATACTCCAGATCATTCTACATCGTTTAGGATTCCAGCTGAGGTGACACAGTTAGGGGATTATTTAGATTTGGGTACAGATGATGAGTTGGTTGATTTGAATGCAGCTGGTGGATATGATTTGGATACGGCTATTGGTTCACCTTAGGTGGAGGTGTATGATTTGTTTCACTTTGGGTCCATTGGGAGCGTTATCAGTTGCAGATCCGTTGGTGATGTTGGTGAAGAGTTGTAAACTTTTCTATTTGATTGAGGGTCTTTGGAGGCCGTTTGATAAACTACGAGCGGGTTGATCCCTTGGGAGAGGGGGTACGTAGGCAGTCAATTTGATGCAGCCGGTTTGGTGAGTTGATACCAACATTTGGAGAGTGTTTGCATTCTCATTTCGGTCTTAACTTGTTATGAATTGAGTATGTTATCGTGGTTTTGTTCCACTTCATACTAGATACAATAAGTGAGACGTTTGATTTGGTTGGTGTCGGCTTGGTTTTGGAAAAACTTCGCCGAGGTGGAGAATTATGAAAACGGCGAAGGAATTGAGGAAAAGAATTGAGAAAAACATAAAAAAATAAGCAAAACAGACTCTACCACACCCAGATGATAGAGTGTGGCAGACTCTGCCTTATTTGCCATGGGTGTGATGTGTGTCACACCAGGGTGTGACAGACTCGTTTTTAGAATCCTAATCTATTTGGGATTGTATTTTGTTATAAATAGAGCCATATTTTTTAGGGTTTTCTATCGATTGATTGGGTAGCTTGAAGGTGATTTTGAGCATAGAAAAGAGATATCTTTCTAAGCAATTTGTTTGAGGGTTTAGTTTGAGAAATTTGAGAGATTTGTTTGAGAGGTTAGTTGAGTGATCTTGTAATCTAATTTGTACTCTCTTTCTCTATAGTGAAAACTCATTCCTTTTTGCCTCGTGGACGTAGGCAATTGCCAAACCATGTTAAACTTTTGTGTTTGAGTTGGTGTCATTATTTTGGATTGTTTTGGCTTTCCTCTCGGTGTTTGTGTTCGTTCGGCCGCTCACAACAGTTTTTGGTTAGGAGCTGATCTAGTTAAGTTTCTGGTCTAGTGGTATTGACAAAAAACTTTTTCATTTATAGCTTTTGTTTTACAATCATATGTAATATTATTAATTTATTACAAATCATTCGATATGGGTTTTCCATATAAATAGGGCTTATACGTCATATGCTTATATGATTGTATTTATTTGATAATTGTTATAATTCCATATGAAACATTTTATATTAAAGCATGAATAAGAGGACCGGAATCATGAGAATAATTCATATGCATAAATTTAAATTTAGAAGGTCACTTTTGTAGGCAACCAATTTAAATTTGGAAAGTCTTCTTTGTAGGCAACAAATTTGCAACCTCTTATAATACGAGAATTTAAAATTTATGCATATGAAGTATGAAATATACTTTAAGATATGAAATCATATTACAAGGTTCTCTTGAATGCTTTGCATGTAACTATTAGAAATTTCATTCATGCATGTGCATATACATACATGTAAAGATATAGTTGTAGTATTTTAGTTCCACATTAGTTTGAGATGTTCAGATATTAAGGAAAAATTCTAACCCTATGTAGTTACATCTTCAGACATAGACTATGATCATAGACCATGATCTTTTATGCTAACATGTTTTGATGTCATATCATTTTAATAGTGACTAGAAAGATTAATTTTAATAGCTCTTTATTTGACTACATGTATAATGTTTTCTCTTAAGATTTTAGGAAATGATTAGAGTTAATACATAATGACACTTAGAGATGTGGTTGGGAGAGAGACCGAGGTTAATTTCAAGAGGAGTGAGTTGGTTGTAAATACTAAGGAGAGGTTGTAATTCTAAACACTTGAGGAAGGCGACACATGAAGTCCAACATTTAGCTCCTCGAGGTGAGGAGTGGAGACGTAGATCGAGGGTTAACCGAACTCCGTGATAATGTCGTGTGTTTACGATTGTTTCTTTGGTGCATTATTTCTCTTTATATATTATGCTTGTTGTTTATATCGCCTATTGTCTCTTGCTTATCCTTGCATATCTTATTGTATATCATTTTGCTATGATATTGCATTTATAAGTTTTAATTTGGCATCAAAATCGGATTAGATTAGCAATTACCATATTCACCCCCCCCTCTAGGGTACTTTCATATTTTTTTATTTGTGTTCAATTCAGCCCAATATTTATTATCATAACCAATTAATATATGTTTATGCATTATTTAGGGATTAGTACCTGCCCTACATGAAGTGTGGCCACAAGTAAAACACAGACAATGCGTTAGACACATCTATTAAAATTAGAGAAAAGCTCATACCGGAAGGTTGCTTCAAAAGCAATTTTGGATTTATGTCAAGGCTACATTAATGGGTGATTTTGCAAGGGAAGCAACAGTTTTGAAAGCATATTCGGTGAGGGCATATGAAGACTGTAGGGTCAAAATTTTAACTGGGATTGATTCTCTTGTTTTAAAAAAATTGGGTTCGATCGCTTGGTACAAAACCCTTACAATCACTCATTCTCTCTCTCTCTCGATTACAGATGAAGAGAAGATTAATTCAGCTCCTCTTTGTTTAACGTGGGCTCTTGGTGGCGAAAGGATGCTTCCTTCGATGCTTGAGTCGAGATTACCTCCCGTTAACGATCAGAACAAGATTGCTGAAGTTTCTAACGTTCGTTAGCAGGCTAGAACTGAGGTTCGAACTCCCGGTCTACACGTAGAAACTTTGATTTCTGATGCTTCTTCAAGTCCAAGTCGAAAATCTCCAACCTTTTTCTCCATAGCCCTCTGTGGCTATTTATAGGGTTTAAGTATGTAACCGTCATGCTAAGATCATGAGTAGAGGGGCGTCACTGTCTCCTTCAAATCAGTGCACGCTAGGGGTGAGTATGGTTTGGTTCGGGTCGGTTTTCACCAAACTTTGAACAACTAAACCGAATCACCTACAATTCAAAACCGAACCAAACCGTTACAAATTGGTTCGGTGTGGTTCGGTTTGGTTTGTTCGGTTCTAACTTCATCAAGTATAACAAATCAAAGGCATAAATATAATTTTCCCCAAGAGTTTATATCCAGGCATCCAAGCAAATAAACACAGCAGCAAGTTGTCAACATTGATTTATTGAAAGCAATCAGAAAGCTAGGTTGCCTTTGTTTATATAACATCATGAAATAAGCCGTATTGAATATAGAACCAAGTGGGAAGTAGAGTTAAAGTTTACATAGTATCATTTTATCCCAAGACGTATCATAGAAGACATCACTAACATGATAACATCAGTTACATCACTAACATGAAAACTGTAAATAGAAGAGACAAATCACAAAAGACATCACTAACATGAAAATGCATAGGAACATTTTATCCCAAGACACTGAGACAGCATGTACTAGGAACTCATCAGCTAACAAAAAAAACACATCAGCTAACATGAAAGGGCTGCTAACAATAAAACATGTCTACAACGAGCCGAGATCCTGCAGTAAGCAATCCCTTGGTCAATAGATGTTCTGCAGTTAACCCCCAAAAAAATTATGATAAGCAACAATACATGGTTATAAGAACAACTAGGGATGAAGAGTAAAGTTATAAGCAACAATTATGATAAGCAAGAATTCTTACCCCTGTTCTTCTATGAAAGATCTTACAAATTCATGATTGTTGGTTCAATTAAAAGTTTGCCCAAATCTGAAAGATAAACAAATAAATAGTTAATAAAAAATCAAATCATTTAACATACAAAAACATAAATGATAAATACCTATGTCTAACTTCTCAAGAGCATCCAAATCTTCTTCAAAGCAAATTTTGCTTGAACCCGGCGTAGCCAACAAGTTTTGAAGCCAATCAAAAGTGTATACTAGGCTTTGTACCATTCTCGGAGTCAATGAGCTCCTAAATGGATCAAGTACTCGGCCACCTGTACTAAATGTAGACTCAGAAGTAACTATAGAGATTGGAATAGCCAATACATCATAAACCATCCGAGAGAGAATTGGGAACCTTGCACTATTAACTTTCCAATAAGCTAAAATATCAAAGTTACTTTGATCGGCTTCAACATCCTCGCTTAGAAATTTTTCCAACTCTGATTTTGCTTCAACACTTCCTTTTGCGGCTTTCAACCTTTTAAACTGACTTCTTACATCGGTTATTTGATTAACATCATCACTATCAATATTATTAGATTAAGCACCAATTGATTGCTCACTTGCATTTATTTCAGTTCCATATTTAATCTTGTAGTCATTGAATAATGCAAATACGGCATCTTTGATGAATTTTAACTTATCAATACTTTCTTTCTCATCGTATGTAAGCTCAAGAATAAAAGTCACAAAATCTTCTTTATTTCGTGGATCTAGAAGCGCCGCAATGTAAATCAACATGTTCGTCTTCTCCCAACTTCCCCAATACTTCTCATATTTATCTATCATTCTATTAGCAATTCTAGCATATGATGCATCATCAGACAATCTCCATTTTTGCAAATCACAAGCAACATTACTAATTTCTTAAAGAAAAAATTTACTTGTCACATATGAGGAACCTGAAACAAGTAATGTTAGCTTGTAAAATTTTTCAAGCAAAATGCATAACCTTCTCACATTAACCCAATCATCCTCCAATGGCATTCCATGAGCTCCATTTCCATTACTTAGTTCAAATCTAAAGAAGGGATCCTCCTCACCATATCTTTCAAAAGCTTTTTCATATTTTTGAGCAATGTTCAACATCAAATAAGTGGAATTCCATCTAGTGCATACATCCAAACATAAAGATGAACCAAATTCAATTTTTTCTAGTTCAATGCAAGTTTTGAATTTAGCTAATCTAGATGGAGATTGCCTCATATATCTCACCGCCGAACGAACACGGGCAATGGAATCCCCCAAACCTTTGAGCCCATCACTAACAATAAGATTAACAATATGAGCAATGTATCTCATATGAAGATATTTTCCACCCAACATTGTGCCTCCCTAATTGTTGAACCTCTTTTTTAAGTATGTAATCATGATATCATTTGAACTAGCATTATCAACTGTGATGGTAAAAACATTCTTAATTTCCCAATCTAGTAAACACTTCTCGGCCACCTTCCCAAGATCATCTCCTTTATGACCTGAAATAGGACAAAAGTTTATTATTCTTTTGTTTAATTTCCAATCATTAACAATCCAGTGTGCCGTTAAACACATATAATTAATATTTTGAATGGAAGTCCAAGTATCAGTTGTTAGACACACCCTCTGACATGTAGCTTTCAATAAATTCTTCAATTTTTTTTTCTTCAAGGTAAATTTCATAACAATCTCTTTGGATTGTCCAACGAAAAGGAATATGAAATCTAGGGCAAGCGGTTGACATGGAATTTTTAAACCATAAACCCTCTACTAACTTGAATGGAAGCTCGTCTAAAATGATAAAATAATTGAGTGCTTTTCTTATGGCTCCTTCATCATAACTCCAACTACCAAGGGTTCCCGTTTTCGTACTAGATCCACTTTGTGAATCACGATTTGCCTATAAATTTAATAACTTCTATCGAGTGTCGAGATTATGTGGATGCTTTTTGCAAGACTCCATATGATTGCAAAGAGCTGTAGTACCATTTTTTTTACAATGTGCAAAATACACTTTTTCACAATACTTGCATTTTGCTTTTGGGTCATCATTTTTATCTTTAAACTTAGTAAAATGATCCCATACCTCCGATCTTCATTTTATTGCTTTTCTTTTAGTCAAAGTCTGAGAGCCTTGTGTAGATTGATTAGAATCAACTTGACTTGCATTTACATTAGGATTCTCCTCTTGAGAAGCCTGCAGATTATTTCAACAATTCAACTAAATTAGGGTTTTTAACTTTTTAGCACACTAATATGCATAAATCAAACTATTGTAAACATGTACGTAAGCATTATAATCATTCAAATTGAAGAACAAAAGTGAGATATGCACACAACAACAAAAACACATATCATACACTGAAAGCAAACTGAACTAAATCATAACTGAACCAAATTGAACTAACAAAGCATGCATTGAACTAACACACTGGCATGGAGTTCCGTCGGGTAAAAAATCATGGTTGAACCAAATTGAACTAACAAAGGATATGATAGGTTTGCATGACTTCAAAAAAATTAACCAATTTGCTAGTCTGAATCTTCTAAACAGAATCTTAAAGATAAGAAAATAAAATATAAACAAAGCATCTAACTATGGATATAATTACCATAATTTAAAGCAAAAATAGTTCAACTGAGAATTAGGTAGTGAATTAACTACACCACATGTTTTGGCACACGATGAAAGTTTAATAGATAACCAAGTTTCAACTGAGCAAATAGTTCAACAAAGTAATCCTCATGACAGCTTTGTACAGTGAATTAGGCAGAAGCAAACGAACGCAACAAACCATATTCGACAACTTCAACACAAGGAAAGAATAAAACTTTCATCAAGCACTTCATAGCATACCTTCCCTATATCATCTTCTTGTTGTTGCTGACTCCCATTATCCATAGGGGAAAGTGGAAACCACGTTGTAGACTTTTGAGGCAATTATGATTAGCTAGTTTCAATCAAAAAAATCCACAACAAAAACGAAAATAATCAAATCCATAGAGGAATCGTTCGCATTGGGATCTTTGTTCTGATTAAAAGAGTTGGATTCATGGTTTCGAGATCCATTACCAGCATCATGATAAAAATAAAAATAAAATATATTCGAATTGAAGGAAGCTTGAAGAAGAGCAAAAGAGATCACTGAGATGTTATACCTTGGCCTCGGCGACGGTGATGGGTGTGGGTGTCCCCCCTCTGCCTCCTCCAAATCAGCGCACGCCGCACGCCGTAATATGCTCCTGAAGATTAGTCCACGTAGCTGACTAAGTCTTCGGGGCCGTTACTGCTAGATCTCATATGGATGACGAACCTCATCTTTAATTGAAACAGGGTTCCTCAAGTAAGACGAGCCTCGATATGTAGCGAGGTTCGTCTTACAAAGCAAACTTTACAGTAAACAAGCTTCTTCTGACGAATTTTGTCTTCATTGACTTCATCTGATGAACTTCGTCTTCACTAACAAACTTCGTCTTCGATAGCTGAGTCTAATTACATAGCAAGTCTAGTAAATTTCCTATTGACGAGCCTCATCTTCACTAATAAGCTTTACGTCTGGTGATGAGCTTCGAACCTCGTGTCTAATGACGAGCTCCAAACTCCGTATCGACTAGTGAGCTTCGAACCTCGTATCCAATGACGATCTTTGAACCTTAAGATTAGTTTCGTTCAATGATGAAATTTGTCTTTTGATGTTGAGCTTCGCTGCATGGCGACTCACGTTCCTGAAGTAGATCTTCACTGAATAACGAGCCTCATCTCGGATTGGGATGAGGTTCATTTTTTATAATCCTCTTCATATTTTGAAGCTCAGCATTTTTGAATGCCTACAAAACCCCCTTCAAATTTTTCAGATTTGAATTGGGTTGTATGTAGTCTGAAACACTTTGAACACCTATAGGCGCCTTGAACTTGCAGAGTTTATCTGATGAACCTAGTTCCGTCATGACCTTCATCATTACTACGAGGTTCAACATGGATATTACCCCTAAGTTCATTCTAGAGTTCGTCCCTCTATACGAGCTTTGTCAGGATAACAGTCATCTGACAGCTTGTAGTTTCATCCGCAATGTTGTTATGCACCTTTTCTAGACCCAACAATTGATTGCCAACTGGCGCTTAGAGATCACCGTGAATCTCGTCCGTAGATCTTATTGGGGAAAGATTTCATCAAACAATCTCAACTGAAAGATCACGACCCTTGATTCGACCTTTTCCCGCCCCTATATATAGGGCATCGTCATATGAGAAGTCGTTTCTTCTCTTCGTCATTTGGACTATCTGAACTCCTCCTCTTCCAAAGTTTTAATCTTTTCTTCTTCGCAAACTTCTTCAAACAAAATCAATGGCCCCCAAGATCGCTGTAGACCGAAGCAAGGGCAAAGGCAAGAAGGCTGTCGGTTCTTCACACGAACCTAATGTTCTACCTGCTTTCTCAGGTAATGGATCTAAATGCACGGTTTGTATTCTGAAAGATATCAACCCTGTCTATTTTAGACTTGGGTTTCTTGAGAAAGATAAACAGTTTCTCTCAAACTCATCATAAAAATGACGTCTTTTTGATTTGATGAGGCTCGTCATCGACGAGGCTTGTCTCCATGACCTGTCTCGTCCTTTGAGGAGTCTTATCTGCTAGTTAAGTCTCACATGTCCAACAGCGTTGGCTATTTTGATGAGGATCGTCCTCTAGAATTGTTAAATGAAATTCGTTTATATGATGGACTGCGAACCTCGTCTTCACCAACGAGCTTTGTTAGACTGATAAACCTCATTTTCCCTGTCAAGGTTCGTCAAGTGAATGAAGTTTGCTCAGCCAATAAAGTTTGACATTTTGTTTTAGCACGAGGTTCATCATTTGAACAAATTTCAAAGTTCATTGCTGGAATAACCTTCGTGTCATTTGGTCGTGACTACAGCTTGTGAATAACCTTGTTTGTCTTTTTGTATAGTTGTATATCCCTCTGTTCCACTTTCCCAATGTAGTGATCTAGGAGCGGATGGTACTCAGGTGGCTGTAACTCATCCTCATTACTCAACCCTTGAGAGTATTCCTTTGTTTGGAGAATAGGAGGAAGTGGATCTTCTTTCTGAACCTTCAATTTCCACATTTAGGCGTATGATCACTGATGCTCCCCTAGAGTCTATTAATCATGAACATATTGTGAAGCTTGTTCTCTTATTTGGAGATACTTCATAGGATCCCGACTTGTTGGATATCGGGACTTATGAATGGCTCAGAACTATGAATGGGCGAAACTTGTTCTTGCCTCGAATGGAGCGTGACGTTTCTCTTACCGCTTTAAACATCATCTCGGCTCCAAGGAAAATGGACTGGGGCTTAACCCCAACACAAGATGGGGTTATATACGGTTACTTTTCTCGGAGCGGTGCTAAGATAAATAGCGGTAGCCGTTACATCACCAGATTGTACCCAGGATCTTTCAAAAAGAGATTCATGTTGGTGATACTGTTGAAGAAGCTAACACTTTTGGCCGTGTATTCTTTAGATGAACGGGTTAATTCCCTACTAAAGATTTTAGAACTCCTGACTGGTCTCATTGGAGTCCTACGTAATGGTAGCCTCGCATGATCGAATACATCTTGCAGGAGAATCAGGAAGACCTGCAAAGGTTTGGTCTTTATGCACCCATCAGGGCGACACAATTCGGATTAATCAATAACTCTCGCCAATTCTTTGGTATTTTGGAGTTATATAATCCTACAACCCGTACTTTCTTTACTCCCGACGGAGAAATAGAGATTGCTCTTCATGAGATAGAGGAAGTCTCCGGGTTATCAAATGGGAATTATACATATGAGGAATACATCACAGACCAACGGGAATTAATTGCTCTAGAAAAAGAACACCCCCATGTAGTAGAGACCTTTTCGGAGGTAATGTGTCATTATCACATTTGCATGAATGTGGAAGGACGGCTCAATAAGACGGGTGAAAAGCTCCTCAGCCATAACATCTGGGCACGTTATCTCTTCAAGAATTTGGAGCACAAGAATGATCCAGTGGTGTCATTGGGTCCTTGTGATGCAAATGAATTATCACGATGGCTACTTGCTCATCCACCCATGCATCGCATATCAGAATTGAATGAACAAGGTTACTCTATCGGTACCACATTTAAGAGTTATTTCTTTCAAGGTAGGGAGCCAATTTCTTCCAAGGCTTTACTGGCGGGATATCTCATGTTATGGCTTCATCAGGTCGTTGTTATTTCTAGAAACTTTGACCTGCTACCAATGGAAGTGGTGTTCCCAGCCGTATGTTTAGCGCACGGCCGCTCCTATGCCCTTCTTCCTACCACGATTGCTCGTATTCACTACGGATTGCGGAGTTTATGTTATCAATTTTGTCGTGGCAACGAGAATCTAAAGGTAGGGCTGCCCTACACTTATTTCATGGCATGGGTCATTCTGTATTGTCTAACCCTTATAAGCACGCCTTCTGCTCGTATGGAGTGTCAGGTTAATCCTTTCATTCAAAGATTGGAGAACTCAGATTCGGAGTACCATTACATGGCCTTGGTAAGGCGCATTCTCCACGACCATAAGAGATGGGAATTCAATCGATGTTTTCCTCAGTTTTCTGGAACCAGCTATGGACAGGCCATCGTGGATGCATCAAATGGTCAGGGTTACACTACCCTATCACTTGGCTGCTTCATGTGGTTTATGACCATTCGTCCCAGGTATCATATTTTTCATTTTGGCCCGGTGTGTGTATTAGAGCATTACTTGCCCTGTTACTTTGCTCGCCAATTCGGTTACGCTTAGTTGTATGTTGGTAATCCCAACACTCAACTAAAATCTGAGGGTTGTAGCTTGATTATTGGGGCCAGAGCTTGGTATTAGACTATTGTCAGAGGTACGGGTGCTCGTTTCCTACTTCCACAACAGAATCCACAGCCTCGGACCACGCTTGCTTATTGCAAGTGGCATTGTATGGAAAACGCGATGATCCCAAACTTTAATGTTAATTCTTTAGGACTGCGATATATTCGGCGTCAGTATAAATCTTGAAATGCTTCTAGACAAAGTTGTATACCAGGACTCAAGGAGCTCTTGTATGCCGAGGAAAGTGCCGAGGTAGAAGAATCTCGTCCCTCTAGTCCTTATGAAACTCGGGAGGAGATAGACGCGGTCCTGAATGAGGATATGGCTCATAGATCTCCTCATGTTGATGAATACGGGAGCTACATGCCTGCTACTTCCGATATAGGAGATGCTCTTAGAGATGGAGCAGATCGTGGTGGGTTTGAGGATTTCGCCCCTACTGACGAACCTTGTGAGCCTCCTCCACATGATGCTTCTAAGAGATTTTCTCTACCCATTGAATCTACTGTCAAAGGCTCTCATCAGCAATCCCAGGTTCTTGAAGAACCATCCCTCGATAAAGGGATCACTGGTATGCCAACATTGACTTGTCTTAATTTTGACTTGTTTTCCTCTGATACTTCTTATTCAGGATGAACTACAGAAGTTGAGGCCCCGAGACAAGTGGGGGAAAATTCTAAAGAACTCGAGCATATGTGCAAGTCTAAACACATCACCAAAAGACCAAGGCGTAATATTTCTCCGCCCAAAACCCTTTGGTGGAGTCACTCAGAGTTGAAACTTGAGGATGAAGTTCCTTTAGCCTGACTCCATACTGGATTGCGTTCGGCACCAAGCACCAACGTCAAAAACGCTCTTGTTGATCCTGGTAAGATAGACATATAGCCATTTATCTTTCTGGATTTTTAAGGTACTAACGACTCTATTCGCTATGTTTAGTTGTTTCCACAGACTCCACTGCCTTTACTGATGTGGATACTGAGGCAGGATCAGCTTCTGGTGACCATACTAAAAGTAGGATTCCTCTAAGTTCAGTTATGGAAATAGGCCGAGTTGATACTTTGACTGTTAATCCTGATGAAGCTGAGGGAAAAGAATTTGCTCTAACCACCATGGCTGAAGCTGAAGCCACCATGAACACAGGTGTTGTGTCTACCAGCTCTATTATCACAACTGCAATTTGTGTCACATCAAGTACTACAGTCGCTGTCACTCCTACTACTGCAATGGTTGCTGCAACCATCGCCACTTATACCGTGTACACTGTGCCACCAGTTTTTACAGAAGCTACGGTTTCTTCTAGCGCTCATCATGAAACAGTGTCTTCTAGAAGTACACCCTCTTCTCCTACCATCTTGGCGAGAAATTCTGTCATATCGAAAATATTAGAGAATTTTCTCAGCATTTTGAGAGAATCTCCCGCTCAAGTCTTAGATCGTGGAGGGGACTTTGCAGGAGTCAAGGAGGTGTTGGTACCTTTCTTGGACTTAATGAAGAATTTTGACCTCCAACCTCATGGTGTTACCGTACTGGTTGCACCTAACCAAGGTTGAGGACCTTTTCAATCAATGGCATAATCATCGATCTCAACCTCTTTACCCTTTAGCTGAAGAAAGAGCAATATAAATATGAGGCAGACATTGGCCTCTAAACAGATGCAGCATCAATCTTTGCTCCAAACAGAACTCAATCGAATAGAATAGCTAGAAAAATTTGTTAATGATATGAGCGCCTATTCCGATGAGGAACTACGTAGACGTGCCTTAGCTGACATTGAGGCAGAGCATCAAGAATCTTTGGCCAAGCTTGCTGAAGAGATTCGTCAGACCGTCGGATCTATTAGCTCCATTTTTTTGTAATCAGACTTTTGTAGTTTTTTTTTATAAAGAGAACCTTTGATGTCTTTGTCCACTAGCTCTACTTTATGCCCTAACATACATGAGTCTCCTATATTAGTCTGATATTGAAGTTTATGAACTTCATTGCCTTGAGATTTAAGACTTGAAATACAAGTCTTACTATTCTGATACGAGGTTGGATTCAAACTCCACCTTGTATTTCAAATCTCACATAGCGAGGTTCAAACCTTACAAACTTCATTAGTACAAAGTTGTGAAACGAGGTTCAAACAATTGAGTCCCAACATTTGAGCCCAATTAAAGGAATGAACTTCGTCGTTAGACGAGGTTCAAATCCAATTTTAATCGAGTCTCAGCATTTAAGCTCAATTAGAGGAATGACCTTCATTATTAGATGAGGTTTGAATCCAATCTTAATCGAGCCTTAGCATTTAAGCTTAATTAAAGGGGTGACCTTCATCGTTAGACGAGGTTCAAATCCAATTTCAATTGAGTCTCATCATTTGAGTTCAATTAGAGGAATGACCTTCGTTATTAGACGAGGTTCAAATCCAATCTCAATTGAGTCTCAGTATTTAAGTTCAATTAAAGGAACGACCTTCGTTGTTAGACGAGGTTCAAATCCAATTTCTATCGAGTCTCAGCATTTGAGCCCAATTAGAGAAACGAACTTCATCGAAGACGAGGTTTAAACTAATTTCGGTTGACTCTCGACATTCAAGTTTTAATTGAAATAGTGACCTTCGTCATTTTGATTTAGGAATGAGAATAAATCTCATTGAACAACATGGGAACTTTTTATAGTTCCCCGACTGTTGATCCACATGGATCCGTCGCTTCGTTTCGTCACGATTAAGTCTTTGGTACTTAATGCGTCGCTTCGAGCCACGTCCTTGTCGGTGTTAATTACGAAAGCAATTGATTGTGTTGCTTTGTTCTCTATGCCCTTTGGCGGTTCAGTGCTCCTTCGCCTATAAATAGGCAGTTGTTTTTCAAGAAGTGATACGAGTCGCCGTGCGAGCACCCTTTGGTCGCGGAATTACCAAAAGGTGGGTTGAGAAGAAGATAACTAAAACACAAGAATAATTCAGTATGGCGAAGGAAAATACCTTCTCCAGATTATGAAGAATCAATTATTACAAATCTCTCCCTCATAATCTCACTAGAATCGAGAACAACCTCTCAATCCTTTCTAAACCCTAATACAATTATTAGAATCTCTCTTAATTCCCTCTCATTACTTAGAAACCCTAAAATAATCCTTTATATAGGTGTACAAACGTGGATGGTAATCTGGTAAATAACCAAGCCCAAAACCAACAGGAATTCGTGTGAACAGAAACCGTTGATGAGTCGACTCATGACTATAATGAGTCGACTCGCCCGAACGCTGAACAAAC